GTCAAAGGTCAAGCACCAAATTAGATATGGTGTTGAAGGTTCAAAAATACATCGAATTGTAGTTTGTATAGAAAGATTCTGTACGGATTTTTAAGCCATGGAGAACGTGTGTATAAATATCCAACGCTATTCGTAGTTAGATTTAGTTTTGAAAGTTCAAAAACACGTGCAATTATAGTTTATATAGACAGATTCTATACGGATTATTAAACCTTAGAGAACTTATATATAGATGTTCAATACCAACCACCAGTTCAAATATGATTCTTAAGGTTTAAAAATCAATTCAATTATAATTTATATTGAAAGTAAAACTTTTATGATTTGATCTCTGAGCACGTATGCTTCATGCTCTCATTCTGTCTTTACTTTAATGGATGTGTTCTTTATTTACAGTAGAACTGTAGATGACGATACGAGTACTTTGTTAAGATTGATCGGGGATGGATACGTTAAATTAAAAATAATAGTTAACACACAATATATGTACATATTTATGGCCCAATGTTCCCCTGGGACAGTACTGGAATGAATGAATAAATATGTATATATTTATATATAATATATGTGTTTTGTATGGCTAAGGATATGCATATAAGTTGTCAGTAATTAATTCATTAAATATTTCTAAAGATTACTATTGGTCAATACTTGTGGCAATCAATATACTCTTCTTGTTTATATATCACTATTATTTATCAAATTCAACTAAATTAAATAATATTGCACTGAAACCTTTTCCTCTTCATATAATACTAGAATCGGTAGGTCCTAACTCAGATATTGATCAAAGGTATAGCAACCCAAAGTCTACTCAACTTAAACAAATTAAAAGGTCTTCATTTTGCACTTTGTAATTGTCGAAAGTGCTAAAGTATTTACCACAAAAACAAAAAAAAATTAATAAAATCAAATGTTTTAAAGAAATTATATTCAAAATCCAAAAAAAAAAATATCCGCCACTGAGGAGAAGTGCCAACATTGCCGTATTAGAGAAAAATTGTTGCATTGATGACAGCATTTGTTGCGGCTTTTAGAGGCGACGTTACTGGCAATTGTACGCCTAATGGCCACATAAATGGGGAAGCTTGTTGCTAATATTTTTACATAAACACCAGTTTTTTTCTCTAATCTTGGCGGAGTGCCAAGAGGCCCCCAGGGTGTTGCGCTATTGCCGTTGATTGTTCTGATTATGTGCGAGCCAAGTTGTTGATTTTATTTTCCTATTGGCAAAAATAAATTTTCGCAAATTGAAAGGCGTTTGGGACTTTGTAACTTCCTATGAACGTATGTTCTGGTACATTTATCTCTGACTCTGAAGTAGTTTTCGTATGAATGAATTTTCCAATTTGTGAAACTATCACTTCAAAAATATGCCAGAAACAAAAAATGATCTTAAACTATATTTGTCAACAATGTGTTAGTAAAATGTTAAGATTAGTTCTTTAAATGAGTTGAGTAATGTTTTTAATATATTTTTAAAAGACTGGGGCTAGACAGGTAACTGAGGAAGGGCATACGTTTCCAGAAATAATTCAAAGGATTGTATACATATGAACATTTACTACTATCGCACCAAGATTGTTAAATATGAGATTATCATTTCTTTCAAATTGTTAAAATTATTTCAGATTTTTATTTACTGATCTGACTGGGACTATAAATACTATTGTAATTTTTAGTTGTTGTTCCAATGAAATATTTAATAAATTTGGGACCATTGATTTATGAGTACGTTGGTGTGTTTGTTGGTTTAATAATACTATGAAATGCAAAACAAAAATATAATAATTATTTAGTATACTCCATTCAAAGAGATCCTCAAAGAATTTATTTTACACAACAAAATAAAATTTAATAATTTTAAAAGCTTTGGTTTAGTATGTGATATATTATTAAAAGCTAAAAAAACAAAATTCCATAAACTCTGATCGTTAAAGGAGGCACTTTACCCCACTTTCTTCAGCTTACTTATAATATTATGAAGACACTAATGGGTGCCATGTCTTAGTTCCCATTAGAATCTGATTTAACATCAACTGTAGTCGTTACAGAATTTTAGTAGAGAAGTAAACAAACAACCATTTTCTCTGTACTGTACAGCTTTCGATTTCGAAAAAAGGGTTTTAGGGAAGATAGTTTACGGACCTCTATTCAAGAAATTTTTTTGGCACCTTAAAGGTTTCTATGTCGGATCAATTTTATTTGTGGGCAAAGTCTGTAAAAGCAGTGACCCAATGCAGAAATCTTGCAGAGTCTAAGTCTAAACTTTTAAAGTCTAAACTTGTTTTTAGATGTATAGATGCTCTGACATATCGGTGTCTACTATTTAGAAATTTTCATGGCTCCATGGGTCCATTATGAATTGGGATCCATATAAGATATAGTCTTGCGCATATTATTATATATAAGATTTATATATTATATTTATATACTATATTTATATATTATATTTATTATTATATAATATGATATTAATACATATTATACTATATATAGCACTTAAAGGTAATACTGCAATTGGAAATTTGTAATAGGAATAAAAAAAAACTGTTAAAACATACTAAATATTTCTATAAATAATAGTTTGGCGGTTAGTCTAACTAGTTAGATATGGTTCAGAGCTTTTATCGGTTTTTATGGCATCTGTGAGAATCTGTTTTAGTAAAATAAAAGCAAACTGTTATTCTGTTGAATTTTGGATATTTGAATTGATTTATGCCTATCTCCTATCATAGGAGAGATCATTAGGCGGGACTCTATAAGTGCTTGAAAAACAAAAATTATAGAACTGCTGCGGTCTGTTGTACATTGTTCAATGTGATCTTATATGTTTTCTAACTTAGTACTTTATGGTTTTTGCGATGTAAAACAAAAGTATTTAATAAAATGTATAGTGCAATTGAAAAATTATTTTAAGAATAAAAAGAACTAACTTTGTTCTTAGTTCTATATTTGTTCTTACTTTGTTCTTAGTCATTTTTATTTCTATTCGCATGGGTTTCATTGCGTTCATTTCTAGCACTATATCCATTGCATTATTTTAATCAGTTTAATAATTCTATTCCATTTGATCCTAAAATGAAAACATATACTAATGTATATGTAATTCATATAAAAATATAGTTTTATATTGGCTGAGGCGTCATTACTATTTGTTGATTTAATTTCAAACTATTGCAATAGTTATAGTAATATTTTATCATTTGAAATTGTGTTATATTTTTTACCGATGACTTTACTAAAAACTTTGAATCTTATCACTTAATAACTGTTTGTTTCAAAGGCATTATACACTTAACTTGTGTAATTAAAAACCGCTTAAGCCACTTATGTTTACACATTTTTAATTGGAGTTTAGCGTCTTTAAGTTTAAGTTCTTGTTTACATTGTGACCGAAAAGTTTCCGGAAATTTTAAATAAAACGCAAAATTCTTAATCTTCATCAATATTTATTTTATCTCCTTCAAAATATGCTCATTAGAAGCGATACACAAATGCCAACGTTTTCCTCAATCATCAAAACATTTTTTTATAGGCGGCTTCCGGTATGGCTTTGAGTTCCCTCTGCGAATTCTGTTTTACGTCTTCTATGGATTCAAACGCGTTCCTCTGAGTGGTAATTTGAGTTGGGAAACAGGAAAAAGTCACACGGTGCAAGATCAGGTGAATAACGGTGGCTGTTCGATGGTATTTATTGAATGTTTGGCCTTTAAAATCGTTGATAATGTTGGCTCGGTGCGAGGAGCATTATCGTCATGAAAAATCCATGAATTATCCTTCCACAATTGAGGCCGTTTACGGCGGATATTTTCACGCAAACGTCTTAAAACAGTCAAATAATAGTCTTAATTGACTGTTTGTCCTTCAGGGACGAATTCATGATGCACCACACCACGAATATCGAAGAAAACAATCAGCATTGCCTTGATTTTCGAGCGACTTTGGCGTGGTTTTTTCGGTTTCGGCTCGTCTTTTCCTCTCCATTCCGATGATTGTTGGCTTGTTTGCATGTCGTACTCGTAGACCCATGTCTCGTCACCCGTTATGATGCGTTCCATGAAAGTTGGATCGGAATTGGCACGATCAAGCATGTCTAACGAGACCTGTCCACGATGGTGTTTTTGGAACAAATTGAGGTGAATCGGAAAAAGCCGAGCGTTGACACGTCGCATACACAAATTGTCCACCAAAATCAAACGAGCCATCTCACGACCGATGCCTAGCTCTCGTGCTATCTCTCTAACACTCACATGAGGATTTTTGAACACGATTTCCTTTGCCTTTTCAATGTTTTCGTCGGTGGTAGAGGTCGAAGGTCGTCCAGAACGCGGCATGTCTTCGACGGTCGTACGACAGTCCTGAAAGGCTTTGTACCACTCATAAACTTGAGTTTTCGATAAAACTGATTCCCCATAAGCCTTTTGTAGCATTCGCAACGATTCTGCACACGAAAATTCGTTCGAAACACAAAATTTGATGCAAACTCTTTGATCAATATTTTTTTCCATTGTTTTTTTCGCAACGCACTACTGAGGTGAACTGGTTTCAACAGCTGCCGTAAACGAACTGTCTGGACAGATCGCGCTCTCATTTTTTGCATAGTAATTAAGGACAAGTTGCTGCCAAACTACATAAACTTAAAATATCGAAAAATATACAGCGCGCGAATTTTAAATGAGAATTTCCGAAAACTTTTCGGTCACAATGTATGTATTTTCGTGTTTTCATGTTTGAGTATTCAACTTCAATTTGCAGAAAATCGAATTGCAAAAATTTTTATGCAAACAATCGGAAACGTTGTACATGCAACTTTAAGATACAACGTGGCGCTTACAAGAAAACACGGCACCCAATCAACTTCCATTACCAAATCCTAAACGTTCGAGACACGCGTAATTAATACAAATTTTTACTAGTCAAAATTGATTGTAAAAAAAATAATATCTTTGATATGGCAAATTTGTTTTGAAAAATTGTAAATTCATGCAAATTCATAGAGAGAATCGAGCATAAACATAAGCGGCTACATTAATTATGCTCGTGCCAAGGATGACAACTTCTTGCGCCGAAATCTGTTCAATCTCAAGCAACTGCGTCACTTGGAGGCATACGGATGGCAGCCGGTATCGCATGCAATTGTGATGAAAAGTTAACTTATTAGCCAATTTTTATGGATTACAGATTTCACACAAGATACTACAAATGTTGTTGCTGGACTTACGGATACAAAAATAAAAACCAATCGAATTAAATTGTTAGTGTTTTTTCTAATTAGTCAGAAACTACATTAAAACATCTGTAAGATTGTTTAACTAAAACAATAACTTTTTATATATCACAAATAAATAAAACATTTAATTAATAAAAATCTTAATATCATAACAAAATCCTCAACTGGACCAAAGTCAAATGCACAGAATTGTGGATTGACGACTTGCAGTCTGTTTAGAATGGTGTCTGCAGTTGAGCAATTGAAGATCGTTAAATTCAAGTGATCGCTCGATCGAGCTTAAGTAATATGATCAGTGTATATGTACTAATTATTCTGCCATTACAATTTATTGCACAAGTCATAAAAATCCCAATAGATACCAGTCAACAAACAACGACTACAAAACTTTAGTACGCGTACTGAATTTAATTGATTTTATTGGTTCAATGCAGTTACTTGGCACTTGCACCACCGATCGCATAGAATTGCACCCGTTTAAGTCTGATTGCCTCCTTGATTTAGACTTGCATTAATAAATTTATTAAGTCGCTCGATCACTGCTATCTTGTACGACTATCTTGTATATTGCTCACTTATGTACTTTATGTATTTTCAAATTTTTTTGACTACAATCAATTTGAGTCATTAGACCAGAGCTGTTAAGAATCATTACATTGGGCCATAGCTGACTTGGAGTGCATACGTTACAGTTTTCCGTAAATACCATATATGCAGCTATGCACCAATGTGCCGCACCGTGCCGTGCATGATAAATAACTTCATAAATTATTCTGAGGAACTCTCGGCAATATTTTCATAACTTTATAGCCAATATGTACAATATATAGACGAAACGCCTATATTTTTACCAATGCAGTCGTTGGTTTATGTGGCAAATGAAGGCGTAAGTTTACTTTATTGCACTAAATTGAATATAAATTTTATTAACAAATTATCAAACATCCAAAAGGCAAATTAATAAGCGTGTACTGTGTAGTAAAATAATGTGAAAACCAATTTACTTAAAGTGATTTTTCAACATTATTTCTTACTCACGGGCATAAGTCGCTACGAACATAAGATTAATTTACATTAGATTCTATAAATTAAATATTTTGTATAGTTTTTAATTTAAACCAAATCAGAAAATAGAAATTAATATTGGATTCAAAATATGGTATCTTAAAACGTTGCTTGATTACTCATTTTAGGTATGAACAGGAGTGATAAAAATAATTTTATTTGCATATTTTTTATACACGTTTATTATTGTAATATAGGTAATCAATATCAAGATATATTTTCTGCAAATAATAGTATTTAAGAATGAAAAAAGCGGGAATTTGTAACAGTTAATCAACTTTATGTAGCTGTTGTTTATGTGTTAGTTCCCAAAATAACATAACAAGTGCAGTTGGTGTTAACGTGTGAACGACACAAATTCAAAGTTCGAACAACCAAAATTCGAAGTTCGAATAAATTGGCTATGTGTGTTAAGGTTTAAGTCCACGAAATAAATTTGATAGGGCTCGATGCCTTACATTTGCAGTTTAAAAGAATATAAAAGATCGATTAAGCTAATAGATGATTCCAACATTGATATTTGGCAGTATTCAAAACAGTTGTATGACTAGCTCAAGCTATGCGTGTTAGAGCTTTATTTAGACTTGCTTACAAATTTGTTAAGGTTCAACTCCTGACAATTGCAGTTCAAAATAATATATAAGAATAATTAAACCAATAGATCATTTCAACTGACCACTGATCATTAATACTTGGCTGTTTCTAAAATAGCTACATGATCAGCTAAAGAATCCGCTTGAATAAAAATAAATGATTGAATATGAAAATTTTATCACCCCATCTTTTATATAAAATAGAGTTCTTGTTAGTGGACCTAACAATATGGAATTATATTAGGTAATGCAAAAAGTATTCACCGTTCGTTTTTTGGTAAATTATTTTTGCCAATACTATTTATGACTTTTAGTAATTGTTTTGGGTAGCATTTTTGGTGAAAAACTTCTGTTATTTAGAGAAATCTGGTCGAATGTGTGATTAACAGTGACTTTTCGGTCGACCCATTATTTAATATTAACAAAGTTTTGCAAAGAGCGAAACAAATGGTAGTCAGAATATTGTAACAGAATGAGACTATCCTATTAAGACCTCTGTAGATAGGAAAGTATGGATATTGGGTTCCATTACTCGGAAACCGATACACTAAGATTTGAATTGTTTTGTTTTTTTACCATCCAAATGTTTTCCTGTTTTGTTAAGTATGCAATCCAAATAATATCACCAATCAAAATGGTCAACCACTGCTGAATTATTTTGTGGATGTTGCAAATTCTGGTAAAAACCCTATTACTGAAATTATGATAACATATGATATATACTCCATGTGGTAGAACTTTACGTCATGATTCTGTGTTAGTTATGAGTTAAAGAGGAGCATAAAACAAAGAACACTGTCAAAACACACAAAAAATTTTTTAATTAGTAAAACTGGTAAAAGTCATAAAAACTATATGTAGTGGTGTCAAAAGAGAAATAATAATATCTTCCACTATGATTGTATTCTAATAACAGATTCGATTGGTAAATCTGGACTCAATCAAGATTTACTCTTGATCTGTCAAATTTTGTTGCTCAGTTGAACATTTTTAGGATAATCTAGGATAATTTATTTTTCATAAATACATGTATCGAATCGACTCACACTTTATATGACAAGTCATATAAAATAACGATAATATGAGGCTAATCCTACCATTCTGACAAAATATCAGGAGTATTATAAAATAATCTTTAGTGTTATACAATTCAGTCGAGATTCATCAATCGAAAATAAAAATTACACTAAAACTGAATCGCGATTAAAAAGTTGCCTCTGATTTACCTATCTAAAACGGTATAAGTACTCAAGATAGAAGGCAATCATTTGAAGGTAATATATCTAAGAAAAAAGTTTACCATGAATATTTGATTAATTATTTTATATTAATAATTGCTGAAACATAGATATACGATGCCGATACGATCTGGGATTGTGGAAACTCAGAACACTGATATGTCATCAAAATGAAAGCTTTCCATTTTGACGATCTTTTTAAATCATATTTCTAATTAATGCCAGAACATTAATCATTACATATCATTTCAAATATTTGGATAAAGAATTTTATAAACTAACTCTACATATCTGCTGCTTTCAGATACTTGGAATGCGCTAAGTTTGTTATCACATTTTGCACTGTGAGACTACGTCAATATTCTAAACCACGAGATTCCCTCGTATTTTTTATTGTTGCTGAAAACAAAAGTGAAATTTTTTCGTATTTGTGCTCAATTTACGACACTTTGTGTGTCGTATATCGAAGAGTTGCTCATAATTTGTTGTCGCCCACGCAGCTACAGAATTTCTGCTGTCAAGTCTTAATAAAATTGTAAAATAAAATAAAACTTTAAATACTGATTTATATGACAGAAGATAACCAAAGACGGATAATGGAGCATTGCAATTTATGCATAAATGTGAAACGTAGCGTCACATAAGAGTACGTCAGAGTCAGAGTCAAGCGAAAGTACGTACAGCTTAATTCTGGGCATTCCATATGGGTTCCTCCTACTTACGAGAAATGTCCAACAAATGTCAAAAAATTAAAGTGTGAATTGTGCAATGCAAAATCATGACATATAATCTACTATTTGCCCCCTTGCACGCATGAACCGTAAGCAACCCCTGCAGCGTCTTTGTAGGCCAAATCCGAGTTGCATTGTGAAATTCTCGGAGATATCGAAAGTGGGTCAAAATGTTTAGTGTGGATTTTACGAGCTCATTTGTGTGCCATTCATGCCTGTGCGCTGGCTTCTGGCCTCAGAAATGCTATATTGTGCCTGCTTAGAAAGTGACTGTTTCAAATTAAAATTGTTTATTGTTTTATGATTAAAAATAATTTACACACATTTGAAATAATTTATCAGCTAAGCGGCGTATGCAAATGTCAAGACGCGAACAAAAGAGTGACACCCATTAATATTTCAAGCATTTTAGTTTCGTCAATTACGCGTAGTTTTTATTTGAAATTTTATGACTTTATTTCATTTCACTAAAGTAACACTTGAGCAATTCTACTGTGACACATAAAATTCATAATGAATTTGTTTAAGAATTGCTAGAAAGACAAGGCGGACATGAATTTAAAATCACAATATTAAAATAAATAATTTCATAATATATTTTAAGATAATGCTATATATTAATTTTAAAGAGATCAATAAATCGGATTACGATCTGATATTTAATTAAGTTTGAAGTCATATTAAATAACCGTTCACTGATCTTCAGACTATTCACCAGTTCATCAGTTCATTAGTTAATTCAGTTTTTTTTAATATACCAGCTTATATAGCTGTGGTTTATGCGTTAATTGTTGTTAATACAACAGCGAGTGCAATGATTGTTTGTGACTATGAAGTAAAAATTAATAAAGTTGAGTTGAGTTCATATTTGCTTTGTGTATTAACATACGGATCCACGTTTCAAAGATTCTTCTACATATTGTATATGCATAATTCAACCAACGAATACTTCTAAAGACCACTGATGATGGAAATTTTGCAAAATCCGAAGCAGCGGTTTTCTTGCTATACGACATTAAATTCCTAATTAAGTTATTAATAAAATAATAAAAATTTCTTTTGACTAATTACTGAAAGAATAACGATTGCCAAGAAGTTTTAATGAATTTTCTAAATTTATTTAATATTGAACACCTAAAGAATTAAGGAATATATTCAATTTACCAAAATGACATACGCTGTAGTTCTACATTTTCTCTATATATGTTGTCATTCAACTCTAACAGGTCAACTTTAACAGCTTTCAGTATCCACAACATTTTGATAAGATTATACCTAAAATAACTTGGGCTAACT